CGCGCCAATGGATCTTGAGTCGAATATTATACGGGCCTTAAAAATTAGAATAGGGCTTTGGGGCCCATTATACTATAAACATGAAAAGGAACCACCACAATAGTATATGTAAGTATTTAGGCCCCTATGAAACCAAAAACGCTCCAACACTCAGACACGCAGACCCTCACGCGCTCTCACTGAGCCGTAGAAGACTCGAAAACCCTAACACTCAACCCACTAGTCCCCCTAACAAAACCTAGCCTAAACCTTGAACCTTAAGACCTAAACCCTAAACCCTAAAGCCCCAACTTCAAATCCAGCACCTGAGAACCTGGGAGTCTAGCTCTGCGCGGTTTGAGCCCCGCACCATGCCCTCAACTGCATTTAGAGCCTCCTTTCAGGGCTTAGGGATTAGTGTCTCTTTTTATCTTCGAAAATTCGATCATTTTAGGGCTTGGGGTCTCCTTTCATCTTCGAAACTTGAATCAATTTGAGGTTGAGGGCTGAGGGTTTGGTTTGGCCAATGCTTCCCCGCATACAAACTTTGATATTGAACTCAATTCACCTAGCTCTCGTCACCGCCATCTGGAAATACTAAACCTCAACCCAGAAATGCTTGGGGTTTTAAAAATTTGGGGTTGGGCCTATGGAACCTAATCCCCAAACCCTCATTTTAAGGCCTGTCCTCGTCCGAACTGTCGCCGACGAGACCACTTGGTTCCTGCTGAACCAGGATCGGCTCCTGAAATCTTTTACTTACTGTTGGTTAGTAGGGAATGGAAGAACGGTAGTAGTAGTAGTAGTAGTAGTAGTAGTAGTAGTAGTAGTAGTAGTAGTAGTAGTAGTAGTAGTAGTAGTAGTAGTAGTAATAGTAGTAGGAGTAGAAGTAGTAGTAGTAGTAGTAGTAGTAGTAGTAGTAGTAGTAGTAGTAGTAGTAGTTATAATTGTACCCCATTCCTCCATTCCCTACTAACCACAGGTAAGTTATAGGATTATTAAGGCCCCTATATTACAGTACCCTTATAGATCCCTTATAGTAACCCTTGTAGACCCCTTATCAGGCCCCCTTCCATTCCCTACTAACCAAAGGTAAGTTTAGGGTTTAGGGCTGAAAAGTCTTCGCGGCTAAGTCTTGAAGCTTCCTGTGCTTCTGAACCCTATAGGCCCTAACCCTGGCCGCATGTCCCCTTCCTGGCACCCCAAATAAAACCCTAGGCCCTAAACCCTAAACCCCTGAAGCCGAAACCCCTATAAACCCTAAACCCATAAACCCCCAAAACCCCTAAACCTTTGAAGGAACTCTTACAGGATCCCTTAAAGCATCCCTACAATCTCCGAACCCTAAGCCCAGGACTCTCGAGTTCCGCGCACCGAGAGCATCGCTCTCGATTTCACTTAATTCAGGAACACCCCTGCGGATTAGGGTTTAGGGTTTAGGGTTTAGGGTTTTGGGTTTAGGGTTTAGGGTTTAGGGTTTAGGGTTTAGGGACTTAATTCAGGAACTTAGGCCTTAAAGTACCTAGATGGGGGCCCCTTTAAGGCCTAAGTACTTGTTATATTGGCATATGCAGTCTTAGGGTTTATTCAGGAACACTCCTGCCCCAATGACGCAGCATGTAGGAGTATAGGGGTTTAGGAGTTTAGAGCTTTAAAGGGGTTTAGGGCTTTATGATTCTAGGGCTTCAGGGCCCTAAACTCTAAACCGAACTTGAGGGACATACGGTTGATGATATAAATCCTGCATGACCTTAAGGACCCTAAGCTACGGGAATTATGGTCTATTCCATTATTATGGGTAATGCAGACTTTATATCATGAACGGTAGGGCTTCAGTGGCTCGGGGTTACCGCATCCTGCCGAGGAGGGGCCGAAGATGTGCAGTTGCAATTCTTCTCATAAAAGTGTAGATACTTAGGCCTTAAAGTACCTATAGAGGGATCACTTTAAGGCCTAAGTATCTACTATAAGGGTACATGGAGCCTTAGGGAAAAGGGCTCGACAGCCCTGAACCCATAAACTCTAGAACCCTTGAACCCTTAAACCCTTGAAGCCTTAAAGCCTTAAAGCCCTAAACCCTAAACTCCAGAACTCTTAAACTCTTAAACCCTAAAGCCCTGAACTCTAAACTTTAGACTCTAGAACCCTTAAACCTTTAAACCCTTAAGCCTTAAAGCTCTAAACCCTTCAACCCTTATAAACCCTTAAAGCCAAAGCAAGCTGCCGAGCTGAAGTTCCGAAGCAGAATCGGCGCGGTCGCTTCACCTGGGATTTTACAGCTGGAGGCTAAGGGCTCTTAGGGCTTACTTGGAGGATCAGGGGACTTAGTAAGTAAGGCTATAAGTCCCTAATTGGGGTTATAAGTATTTATAAGTGTAGTTACCTTATTTATAACCGTAGTTACTAAGTCCCGTGACCCTTTAAGTAGAGCTTAGGGCTTATAGGATTTAGATCAAGGGCTTCGTGCTTGGGGTCTACGGGGCTTGGGCAAGTATAAGTACTGGAACCATACAGGCATGAGCTTGCAAAGTACCAAGAATATACCAAGATCACCACATAACATACTAATTGATCTGTCATGATAATCTTGAAAGCAATAACCATTTTTAGCACACCGAAAACACGAATAATGATCACAACCGTGGTCATTAGCTAGTATATCAACCATAGGAATACCGATGTAATAGCAAAAATACGACAAAGTTGGAAACAGTAAAACAAAAAATGTACATATATAGTTGTTCATACAATACGGTGATGGCTGTTGTGGTTACAACGAACCCTCATCACACGATCAACCCCTAAACCCTAAACCCTGAAACCCTAAACCCCAAACCCTAAAACCCTAAAACCCCAAACCCTAAAACCCTACCCTACACCCTAAAACCCTAAATCCTGAACCCTAAACCCTAAAACCCTAAACCCTAAAACCTAAAACCCAAAACTTGGCCCCCGGATCTTCCAAGCGGCTCTCGTGCCGGAAGATGAAGTAAGTCGTGGCTTCGTCACTTCTCACCTCACAAGCCCAAGGTTAGGGTTCAGGTACCAGGGTTCCTTACAGGGATTTATCGGGTCCTTAAAGGGATCTATAAGGGTTCCCAAAAGGGATCTATAGGGTTTTGGGTGTAGGATCTACATAAAGGATCGTGGGACTTAGTAACTAGGGCAATAAATAACAAGGTAACAGTACTTATGATTATTGATAGCCCCAATTAGGGTACTTATAACCTTACTTGCTAAGTCCCCTGATCCTCCAAGCATGGGAAGGCTTTTGCAAGCTTTTTGGGGGCCTTCCTACTTCTTGGGAGGGTTTGAGAAGGCCTAGGAGGGTTTAACGGGGTTCAGCAGGGTTTAAGGCTTGCGGTTTCGGATTTAACTAAGGTGCAGAGCTAACCCCAAAGTCTTGAGAATTGCGGTGTGAAGGGGGGGTGGACAAAACTGCATCGGATGACTGGATGAACCGACATTCCGAGCGCGCGATGTGAACGACAACATGACGAACGGAGTAGAATTTCTCGTCACCTCACGTCGTACATACTTTGCTACGTCATCGAAAGCTTGCACCAGCTCGTCAACATAGTTCCTCAATGCGCGCGGCAAAGATCGGGTATAGCCCTTCCGGCCTCAAGAAACAACACGGGACAACATCAAATCAAGACCTCACATGAAAAGACCAACGATGCACAGATCTGAAAAAGCCGCCATATGCCGTCATGGCTATTCTAAGTCTAAGACACACCTGCCAGAAGTTTCAGGAATCGAGGGAATGGGTTTTTTAGATTTCGGGATGCTTGGGTTGGGATGTGGGAGACTATGGCAACTGAAACCCATTTGGGAGTTTCCGAAAACAGGGGACCCTAATGTAGTACCCTAAATAGTAGGATCCTCAGTATAAGGACCCCAACATAAGGGACAACCTAATTTTGGGAACCTCCCATTTGGTTCAGGTGTCTGCGTGTAGGGGGACCAGTAGATACTTGAGCCTTAAAGGGGTCCCTACTAGTCCCTACATGGGAACTTTAAGGCCTGAGTATATACTATAAGGGTACATGGAGCCTTAGGGAAAGGCAAAGGGTCCAAAGTAACTGTATAGTCATCCTCACACCCCTCTATGTGAAGAGCAGGTTCAAGGTGGTCAACCATGGGAGCAAGCCAAACCAACCCTATGGCACATTGCAATCAGCACTATCCTAAACCCAGAACCCTAAGCTCAGAATTGATGACACCCTAAACCCTAAAACCTATATTTCGGACATTTCAAAGATTGCGAGCCCCTTACGCCCACGCCTCCAAGTGGACATTCTCAATTTCCCACTGGCCAGGCTTCTCGGCACAGCATTGAAAGGCAAACTCCCCGACGTCGCCTGCGCCGGCCAGAAATCATCAAAACCCCTGGCCCTTCAGGTGATATCCATAGAACCTAGAAAGTCCAACTCTGTAGACCGTACCGTCTTCCCGTACCGTCTTTACCCAAAATAAGGTACCCCGAACTTTCGGAGTATGATTTTAGGAGGGATCCTTTAAAAGGGATCGTTAAAGGGGTCCTTAAAGGGGTCGATAATAGGGCTCTACATCGGGGCCGTAATAATTCGACTATAGGATCTTGGGGCCTTAAGTATACTGCCGTTATAATAAGGAACCCTCGAAATACTGCTGATGGACAAAATCCTGCATGACCCTAAGGACTCTAAACTATGGGAATTATGGCATCTTCCTTATAATGGGTAATGCAGGATTTTGTCCATCAGCCGTAGAATTGGTAACTATTTCATAGGCATCTATATTATACCCCGCGAGTTTTAAAACAACAGTAGAACCGAATAAGAACCCTGAACGGTAGGCTCCTGAATAATTAAACGGACACCGAGTAGGGAATCTAGCTTCCGAAGAGCCCCCAATGACATTCTTACAAAGATTGACGAAACCCGATACGACCCGTTTGAGATTCTTGAAGACCTTTAAGTTTATCAAACCACCCGCTGAGCCTAGGGGAGGTCTAGGGTTTAGGCTTCCCTCTGAGCCTAGGGGAAGCTTCCCAGACCAGCGCCAATGCGCTTCGTCCGCGTAGCGCACGCGGATCCAGAGTGGTACCTGCCATGCAAGGAGGTTTCTGGTGGCAGACGCCTTGCGGCTCATGACCCCACTTATGCGATCATGGGAGGGCTACAATTACTGCTGCCAAACAAAAAACACCCTAATTCCTCGACCCTGAAACCCCAAAATCTGTTAGAACTGTGAAGAGTTAGCTTAGACATGAAAATTCTGGAGCTCAGCTCCCAAAGCAAACCTACAATGGGACTTAGCAACTAGGTAACTAGGGTTATGCATAAAGGCAGCTTTACTGATGATTACTCATATACCCAATCAGGGAACTGATGTCTATTGTCCCTGATACTCCAAGTATCCAGACAGCCTTGCAAGCTTCTATACTAAGCTGGGGAAGCACGGGACCGGCCGCTCCAAGCCTTAAAACCAAATCTCTTGCTATCCACTCCAAAGCTGAAATTTGCGTGCTTCTGCTTATGTTCAGTATGTGCGATTGCTTGGGGCTTCGTTGCTGGTCCGACTACAATGCCTATCATGACCATGGGCGAATCTCTGCTGATGTCAGATGATCTTCCTTGCCATGCTGGCTTCGTACTACGTGTTCGTACCGTCACCAGTATTCTGACTGTATCCTACTTCAGCCTGAATAAACGGCGATGCCCGTAGCAAGACGTCAAACCGCAAAAACAACTCGGAGGATCAGGGGACTTTGGAAGTATGGTTATGAGTACCCCAAGTGGGGTTATAAGTACTTACATGTATAGTTACCCGATTTAAAATCCAAGTTACTAAGTCCCATGATCCTTTAAGAACTCCGGCAAGTACCTAGAGTCTCCATTGTAGTTCCTTTCTTTGGTTTACCAATTTATGGCTAGGATCCTATAAGCGAGGTCCTGGTTAACCAAAAAAGGAACTACCATGGAGACTATAGATAGGATTAAGGATTCCTTATATAGGGACTCTTATTTGGGATTGCCCCACCCTTTCTTCATCCCACCTGTTGAGGCCCCTGAATCCCATGGCCCGAAGAGGATGCCCGCAGCTCCATCTTCTCAACCTTGCCTTCTCATCCTTGTGCCAGTGGACGGCCGCACGGCCGCCGGTGGGCACAGACAGGACCTTGGCTGCTGGGGTGTCCCCTAAACTCTAAACCCTGTTCCCTAAACCCTATTCAGGGATGAAGCGACAGGGTTGACAATTCATGCTTTACGGTGGCGGGCTTGCCAAATAAAGCTTATGGTTTCGGGTCAGAGTAACGTTTACGCTTCAGCTGAACACTATGCAAAGCTCGGGCACTTGCAAGCACAAGCCAAGACAGGAAGGGAAACCCAAACAATAAATAACCTCTGCACCAAGGCCACGAAAACCTAGAGCCCTAACATCCGATGAAGATCAGTTTGAGGCTGCAACAGTCTGTCTGCAGATACAGCACCCGATGGGCAGCGAAAAGTAGAAGAATTTAACCTTCACGCTCTCTCGCACAAGTTGTCGTTGGGGGGCCTCTAGCCTGGCTAACACCCGTTTCCATGTGATTTTGGCCTTCTTTCTCTCACGACCCTCTCTGGCTCGAGAGTTGGTTTTTGGTCAGTTTGCAAAAAAAGTCTCGTCGCTCTTGCTTCTTCCTTTCTTTCCCTGGCTGTGTAGCACCCGCTGCTTTCCGCAGAGGGCCGCGCTTGTTTGGACAAGTAGGCGTCCGAGTTGCCACCCCTGGCGTGGATGCACGTGGCTACAATCCCTGTATAATCCCAAAGGTTCACCTTCAGTTCCCCTATGATACTCGAGAGGTAAGACATTTTTGAGTGGATGCACGTGGCTACAGCTTGTGTGCCCATACTGCTCTGCGTTATTCTACTCAAGAGGTTGGGAGGCTGAGTCCCTCGGGTTTTTCGCAGATTGTATACTTTATATCTTAGTGCTGACTGAGTTGAAGTCGGTTTGGCCTGCAGTTTTGCAAACACGCTGCATCGCAGCCGAAACAGAAGCATTTCTGCATCTCCACAAGAACCGCTGATGCACATCATTGTATGATGCCCTTCACTTTACGTCACCGGCCAGCTATCACAATCATTTCCGAGCATGCTCGTTCCGGTTATAGTCAGACTAGAGCACTGGCGGTTCCTTGAAACAGCTAAACTTGTAAACCCTAAACCTTGCAGGACGCCGAGCTCCTTGAAAAGAGCGCAACTCTAATCGTTGAATCTCTTGCAGCACCCTAAATATGGAAGAGCTAAGTCTGCTAAAACCCAAACATTTACAAACAAACCTCTACTATACCATAGCCCATCATGAAAGAACCCAATAAAGACCTCCTTTACGCTCTCCCTGAAGAGCTCTCAGCGCCGCCTCGGACTCCTCGCTTGCCGCAGACAAAGAGGCCTGACGCCGAAGAGGTCGCGGCAAGAAATCTTTGGTGTTTACGGTCAAGCTTCAGAGCTTTAGGGCCTATGGTACAAGCCAGAAAGTTGGAACATCAGTATCCTCATGCCCCTAAAGTAAAGTATAAGAGATCCTAGCACTAATCCTCCTGAACCCATGTTCCAACTTTCTGGCTTCTACTGTATGGTTTTATTGTTTACAGTTGGAGGTTTAGGATTCTGGGGGAAAGGGCTCCAAAACGGGTTCCCTTTAAGGTTCCTATACAGGTTCCGTATCAGATTTCCTATAAAGGTTGCATTTGATAAGGTTCCCACATGTTTGCTTGAGAGTTCCTTAAGGGCTCTTTTTGACGTTGCTAAAAGAGTTGCATGAAACCTCAGTGTGTTGAGGATGGGCCTGAAGACTTGAGTTCAGGACGTAGGTTTGAGGTTTAGGGTTTAGGGTTTAGGGTTTTAGGGTTTTAGGGTTTAGGGTTTAGGGTTTAGGGTTTAGGGTTTAGGGTTTTAGGGTTTAGGGTTTAGGGTTTAGGGTATTCGGGATCCTTGTTAAGGGGTGCAGTGGACTTTGCTATCTCTTCCCTGCGAGGCTTCGGCTGCGTCGATGTCATCCCAGCCTGTGACTTTACCACCCTTATAGATCCTTCAGAAGAGCCCTTTTTGTTTCCTTATTATGGTAGCTTGAACTGAATCCCTTAACAAGAGCCCAAAAAAGACTGTTTAGTTAATTGCCATAATAGGGGTCTTTTGTGAATAATATGGTTGTCTTATGATGGTAACTTAACTTAAATCCCTTCACAAGAGCCCAGAAGAGACTGCTGCCCCTTCCGGACTGTAGCGCTGGTCCCCGTCTGCTTTCGGACTGACCGAGGGCCTTCTAGCGAGAATGGACCGCACAGTGGGTTTAGGGTTTAGGGTAATTTGGACCTTTGAATCGATATATATATATATATGCAGAAAATAGCCTTTTTGTAGGTGTTGGGCCATTAGTTTTTTACCTACTTTTTGGGGGGTCCAGGTAGCTTTGCCTCTTGATTCAGTTTCTGGAAAGCTTCAGGTACGCAGGCTGTTGGCCCCGGGTTGAAGTCCGCGAGCTCGTGGCCCACGTTGATGACCCTTATCTGGCCGTTACCTAGCCCTCATCTGACGTCTGGGGTGTAGAGCTTTAACGACTCAAGGACACGTGTCAGCAGTGATCCGAATCACAGCAAGACACTCCTCGGGCAATCTATTGGTTCAGGAGAACGGCCCTGTCTTTGAAGCCTACGCCGTGACCAGGAAATGCTGGACTTAGCCTTCAGGAATTAGGCTTGCAGCACAACAAAGGGGGGGTGCTTGGGGCATCTCGGTGGGAGCTAAGCGTTAATTGCCATCATACATCCGAATAGCATAGATCACTCCAGGCGCGTAGGATTGCCAACAGTCCACGCAACAGGCAAGGCCGAAGGCGGGCAGACATCATGCAGATGGCGTAAACTTGCTTCATCAACGACACTTGCGAAAGGTGAAGTATATGTATATATCATCGCGGCCATAGGGTGCGACGCATCCATGATCCAAGAAAACTCTTGGAGTAGAGGCTGAAAGAAAGCCTCCATGGCACCAATGAGTGCATCTGGATCCTCGGGGTCATCGCTTGGGCAGGGGTTCTGACAACGTCACATGCAAGGTGCTGTGCCCACCAGCTCGCCTGATGCTCTGAAGCCAAACAAACCCAAAGGCTCCATGTACCCATATAGTAGATACTTATAGCCTCAAAGGAGTCCCTATATAGGTACTTTAAGGCCTAAGTATATACTATATGGGTACATGCAGCCTAAGGGTTGCCGCCTCGATGAAGCGTTGTCGGGGCGGATCTGCGCGAACAACGCGCGAACTTGGGACTGTCATGTGGATGCCTGGTTCACTGGGAGGTTGCAGCCGACACACACAAGGGAAACCTTAAACCCCCAAACCCGAAACCTCAAACCCCCAAACCCTATATACACCATCAATCCAAGAGGGTTCATATACACTACCATTATGGAAGTAGGTACCAAAAACCCATAATCATAGTACATACGGACTCTCTGGGAATGTAAGTGATAGTATATACGGATTCTCTGCGAATGAAAGCAAAGGATGGGCGACTGCCTCCCAGTGGCGTTGATGGCCACCTGGCTGCGAGGCTTCTGGGCTCTTTCGGGAATGAATCCCGCAATCACGGCCCAAACTCACTGGAGTGAGCCAGAACAACAAGCCGAGTAACAATAATACAAATACGAATAACGATGCTGAAGATGATAATAATATAGCAGTCTATAAGAAGAACAAGACTAAGACAGAACATCATCATACTGAGAATAAGTTTTTGGCCCTGTAACGCAATGCGGGCCTGCGCAGGGGCCACATGGAGCACCCGAACCTCCAGGGCAGTTGCGTCCATCTGTCTCTATAATATTGCCGGCATACGTACACACATACGCGCATGCATGAAGTTGCTTGCAGGTGTACAAGCAAACGAACGCAGAAAAGAAGAGTTTGCATATGCACATATAGCCTCACTTAGCTCCCTCAACCGAAAATTCCTACTAAGCCTCACAAAACCTTTTCCGGGCTGTAGTTTCGGGGCCCTTACAAGAACATATGAATAGGCACCTCTAAAGGAACAATACTAGGAATAAAAAAGCTTCCCAAAGTGCGACCTACGGTTGATGAAACAAATCCTGCATTGCTTTAATGAGCCTAGACTATGGGAGTGCAGGATTTATATCATCAACCGTAGTTTTAGACATTTGCAGACTAAACCCCTATAATAGCCCTGTATAGTAGCCCGTAGAGACCCCTTTACAAGAAACCCTTACTTTGTTGCTGAGTTCAGAAGCTCCAAAAAAAATTGCACTTTCAGTTTTGTAGTGGGTCATATTGTCCCAAAAGATGTAAAGCGTCTCCACTCAGGTAGCAAGCTAATGGAGCCCTACCTTCAACTACCAGACGCTACTTTTTTGTAGGTTCCGACTATACACCCTGATATGAAATTTATAGGGACCCTACGAAAAAGTAGGTTTTGGTAGGTTAAGGTATATTCTAACTATTAAGGCCCCTTGTAGACCCTGGATCTTCCTGTCCAGGACACCTCATAGATGAGGTCACCGATGCGCTCGGTGAACTGCACGGTCGTAGTCACGCCTTGGTTTGGGGGGGTTGGGGCTTAGGGCTTGTTGGGGGCACATGGTTTAGGGTTTTAGGGTTTAAACCTTTAGAGGTTTAGGGCTTCGGATTTACGGTTTAGGGGTTCAGGGGTTTTGGGGGCTTAGGGTTTCGGGCCCAAAAAAAACCCTAAGCCGCCCAGAACTCGAGAAGCAGGGGCTTTGAATTGGGATTCCAGTGTTCGCGACCCAGAGACTCCAATATCCCTTATAACTAACTAAGGACTCATCCTTAAATTATGGTAGGATCAAACCCTAAACCCTAAACCCTAAAACCCTATATATAATTGAAGGCCTCTTCCTTAGTTAAGGGATATTGGAGTCTCTGGGGATTCCCGGCTGCGCGGCCCGGGGGGCCTTGGGCTTTGGGGCTTCAGGCCGATCTAGGGATTGGATTAGAGCCCCTGGGCCCCCATGACCCTAAAGGGAACTCCAGAAAGTTGAAATATGGTTTCAGGGTAGGATACCTTATAATTTACCTTAAAGGGAGTATGATAATGATATTCCAACTTTCTGGCTTCTACTGTAAGCCCCAAAACCCTAAACTCTAACCCCTAGAACTTAGAAGGGACCCCCACCCTGTAATAGTGACTAGGGCCCTATCATATTCCTATTATACCACTATTACAGAGTGAGGGCCCCTTCTAACCTAGGACCCTCGCAACAAAACAACAAAAAACGAAACCATGAACCCCGACAAACCCAAAACCATGAACCCTTCAACCCCAAAACCCCCAAAGCCCCGAAGCCCCCAACGCGTCTCCCTGAAAAGGCCAACTCTAAACCCTTTAGCCCAAAACCCCCCAATACTCCAAACCCCCTAAACCCGAAACCCCAACCCCCTAAAGTAAAGACACCCACCCTTTAAACCCCAACCTCTAAACCCCCCGAAAACCCCGACCCCTAAACCCGACGAAACCCTCACGACTCAGGCCCCGCGCCTAGCAACATGAAGTCGGGCTCGTCGTCCTTGCTCTCGGCACCCTGTGTCGGATAATGGACGTGACAGCGCGGGTTTACGGGGGGTTTAAAGGGGGCCGTTTAGAAGGGTTTAGGGTGTACGGCGCTTCGGGGTTTGAAGGGTGCAAGGGGTTGGGCGGGGGTTGGGGGCGGGCGGTTGGGTTTAAGGGTTGGGTTTTCTGGATTTAGCTCGCAGTTCTCCGGTTCGGGATCAAGGGTGCTGGGTTTGTCGGAAGCCTTACTAAAACCCTAAACCCTATACCCTAAATATTGAAAATACTGGCGGGAGTGGGTGAGGATTTGGCGGGTGGCGGTCATCTGAGCCCAAACCCCAAACCGCATGAGTGAGCATGCGAGCCCCAAACCCCAAACAGAGCTTAAATTAGAACCCCAATTAGGGTACTTATATCCTTACTTACTAAGTCCCCTGATCCTCCAAGTGTGGGGATCTGAATCGGGGTGGGTTTGGGTTCGCGCTCTGTGGTTCTGATTTAGGACGCCATGACTCTTGCGGCAAACTGGCCTGTGAACCTGTTCCAGGTTGCTCAGTTTACTCACTAAGCCGGTTATTGATTTACTGCGTAGAAAGGTCTGGGAATTTAGAGGTTGAAGGGCTTATGTGCGTACTGGGTTTAGGGGTTTGGGGGTGCAGGGGTTTAGGGTTTAGCAGCATATTGGTCTGCTTTTGCTTCGGGTACTTGGTGCTTTTGATTCTCACTGGTCGTATGCATCGAGGCTTTTGGGGATTCCAGGGGCTTGAGGGTGAGGTCCTTTGGGGTTTGAGTCAGGGTTTAGGGTTTAGGTCGTTCGCGGTTTGAAGCGTGACGAGTGTAGATGTCGTAAGGTCCATCCTAGATGCAGCTGCCAATAGCAAGTAGTACAGTGGCAGCGTTGCAAACAGATAAGGGCACAGGAAACCCTAAACCGAAATCCCTACACCCTAATCCCCTAAACAGGCTGGGCTCTTGTTCAGGACATGATTATGGTTTAAGGCTTAAGGCATAAGATTATGGTTTAAGGCAAAACGATTATGAAATAAGGTTTATGTTCATTAGATCATTACTCGGCCGACTTCTGAACCCTTGCCAAAAGTTAATCTTTCAGCCTCCATAGTATAGTTTATAAAAAAACCCCAAAAAGTTAAAGTCCTAACAGCCAACCAGAAGAACGCCAAGGAATGTTTTCCCTGAAGGGTGCTCTAAAAGAACGGGCCCCTTATGGGATATATTCCCAAAATCAATAACCCCATAATGACTTCCCTTGCATGCTAACTTTGAAATAAACTCCCGGAGAGTCCAAGACCCCTTACTTGAGAAATATGCCTCAAGCCATAATATTAAAGCCCCCAGTATTTAAGGTATGTTCCTTCTTTACCCTAACTCCTAAACCCGAAACGATAAACCCCCGACACCCTGGGGCCCTAACCCCTAAACTCCAAGGGTAAAAGGAGGGACCCTTAATGAGGACCCCTACTTATATACTAGCTATTATATACCCATTATATAGCCCATTATAGGGTAGGGGTCCCATTAAGGGTCCCTCCTTTTCCCCTTTGATAAACCCTAACCCCGAAACCCTAAACCCTAAGCTTAAGAAGGACCCAGGAGACGCCTTGTCAGCGGAAAGCCGCACCACAGTGTGGCCAAGGGCCTCAACCTTGAATTCCTGGCAAAAGGCTGGGTTTAGGGCTTAGGGGTGAGGGTTTTGGGTTGAGGGTTTAGGGTTGAGGGTTTAGGGTTGAGGGCTTGGGGTTTAGGGTTTAGTGGTTAGGGTTTTGGGGCATTTATCGAGGAAGGGTGAATGAAGAGTCAGGGTTAACTTCGAGGCCTTTATGCACGAATTCCTGAAAAAAGCTATCTTGAATGATGTTGAGTACCCTGAGCCATAAACCCTAAGCAGTGCCGGGCACCACAGCGCTGTATGCGGGGTTGAAAAGAGGATGGTAATGTAGGAACCTGATTAAGAAACCGTGGGCCTTCATTTGGGTTCCTTATATGAATCCCACTATTTTGGTGTTATAGGCCTATAACCCACCCAAAATACTGGGATTCATATAAAGAACCCTAATACTGTAAAGGCCCGGGGTTTCTGAATCAGGTTCCGATATTCCCTAAGGCTCCATGTAGCTGTCTAGTATAATAGGCCTTAAAGTACCTATATAGGGACCCCTTTAAGGCCTAAGTATCTACTATACAGACGGGTAGTTGTGAAAACTATGGTCCCTTTTGGGGGTACCCCTTAAATAATAGGTGCCGTATTAGAATAGGGACCCAAAAAGGGACCTTAATTTTGACAACCAGCCAGATACATGGAGCCTTTGGGATTGTAAAGCTTCAGAGTGAGGGACTCGGGAGTCTCTTTAGGGTTTAGGGAGTTTAGGGTTTAGGGCTTAAGGAGTGTGGGGTCTAGGGCTTAGGGAGTTTAGGGTTTAGGGCTTAAGGAGTGTGTGGGTTTAGGGCTTGGGGAGTTTAGGGTTTAGGGTTTAGGGAGTTTAAGGTTTTGTTTGATCTATGATGACAGTCGGACCTTTTTCCAGCCTGCCCGCCCTCCTTAGGGAGTGTGGGGTTTAGGGCTTAGGGAGTTTAGGGTTTAGGGTTTAGGGAGTTTAGGGTTCGGGGTTTCAGTCCAGCGTTGAACCTGAGGGGCTTTGGGGTTCATGAACCTTCAAATCTCAATCCGAGACCCAAAACTTTCCGAAACCTCAAACAGAATGACCTGTAATGATTAATGATGTTTCGGAAACTGCAGAAGTCGTATCCAAACAAGAAATCGATCCCTTAAAGAGGGGCGCTCGTCTACACTACAAAGTAGTAGTAGTAGTAGTAGTAGTAGTAGTAGTAGTAGTAGTAGTAGTAGTAGTAGTAGGAGGTCCCACATTAAGGGATCTACTGTTTAGGTCCGCCAGGTGGTCGTTTCAAGCCGAAGTCCCTTCTAGAACCCTTATGCACCCTTTGAAGGAATCCTTAAGGGGAGCTCAGGAATCCTTCAAGGGAACCCTTAACGCGAAATCCTATCCCATGAAGCCCTAGAGCCCTAAACCCTAAGTGCCCGAAACCCGAAACCCTAAAACCTTAACTAAGCCCTAGAGAACTTACGAGAGAGCCCTTCGGGGGAACCCTTTAACAAAGGCTTGGTCAGCGCCTCTGCCACATGAAGATCTCCTGGACAGCTACGCAAGTCGCCTGTCTCGATGCGCTCCGTGATCCAGTTCGCTTCTCGTACGCCACGAACACGGTTGATGATGTAAATCCTGCATGACCGTAAGGACCCTAAACTATGGGAATTATGGTATTATATTCCTTATTATGGGTAATGCAGGATTTATATCATCAACCGACAGCCGCGCTTTTAAATCGAAAGTGCGGACTGGCTCCGTCAGAAGCACGCCTTGCTCCTTCTCGGATCCCAAGTCCGCAAGCAAAGCTTCGATGCTCGCAAGGGCAAGTGCGCCCTCGACCGAGGCAGCTCATTCAGCTTCTGCTGTGCTGTGGGTTACTACTGGCTGACGAGAGGATCTCCACATCACCGGAGCCGAACCCAGCGTACTTAAAGGATCATGGGACTTAGTAACTAAGGTTATATGAATATATAAGGTGGATATCCTGATAATTACTTATAACCCCGATTAGAGTACTTATAACCTTACTTACTAAGTCTCCTGATCCTCCAAGTAATGACCCATCCACTGTGGGATTTCGTGCCATCAGGGGCGAAGGATGAATCCGACAACGAGGCGGTTGACCGACTGCCAGCCACAATCTTGAGATGGGAGGGGGATCGTTAAGCTCAGAGAAAGCAGCAAGTGCGCAGGTCCTACAATGGAACCGAAGAGCATTATGTAAAAGCCTGGTTCCATGGTAATTGTACTGCTATTCCATATATTGCTCTTACTACGACTTCAGTGTTTGAGACGCTGTTCTCCTGTTTCAGGCCTCTCCGTATGGTAACCCTTACGCCTTACGGCTTTCCTTTATAATTTAGGAATCCTCTATAGGGGAGCCCTTTTCCAATTTCAAAAAGACCCCCCTTCTCATTCCTTGTCAAAATCCGATCCCGGCCTGCGATAATTCCGTCTGCTGCAGCCTCCCAAAGCAAGGCGCTACTTAAACAAAGCAAGCCGCGCTCTCAGCCGAGGGTGAAGTGCTTAGACCCTAAAGCCGTACACCCCTTCCTGATAGACCCTAGACATTAAGCCAAGCAATCTGAAGACATGGAACCACTCGGGCCGATGTCGATATTGGGTGGGAGTTGTATAAGAATCCCCAAATACTTGCAGGATCAAGGGATTTAGTAAGCAAGGTTATGAGTCTTTATAAGTATGTTCCTAGGGGTTGTAAGCAAGTACAAGTATGGCTACATGGGCTAGAAGTTATAATCCTAGTTACGAGGTCTCATGATCCTTTAAGCACCTAGGTCACTTACAGAACCCCTTAAAGAGAGCCCTTTAAAGCTACTAAGTCTCACAATCCCTCCAACAGGCCCTCAGACTGTGGGCCTGAAGCCCACAGACTTGGCATCGCAGTCCAAGGGCAGCATTCGAGGCTCAGTGGCATCACCTTTGGGCCGGAAGCTTCTGTTAGGTTTTTCTTTTGAAGTGTACTGGCTAGGTCGCCCTAGTTTGTCTCTACAGACTCCAGACATACACTATGTGAAACCTGATGATCTTCAGGAAGAGGCCACCAAGCTGTTAGGGTTTAGGGTTCGGGGTCTAGGGTTTTGGGGTTTCAGGTTTAGGGTACCTGGGCCGGAAGCGTCTGGGAAACGGCTTACTTCTTCCTGAATGACGAAATGTTGATAGTGATAACAATCAAGAGGATACTGAAGACGAGTGTGAGCAGTGGGTATGAAGACAACAGGAAGATGATGACCATGAGGATGAGGAAGTGTAATTCCACTCTGGTTCGGACTGTGAGTCGAACGTGACCCACAAAGGTTGATGATGTAAATCCTGCATTGCCTTCAGGACGGGAATTATGGTATATTCCTTATTATGGGTAATGCAGGAATTAGATCATCAACCGAAGTATTGCTCACGAAACCGACAGCACAGAGTCGCAAAAGGTCAAGGTGCATCAGACAGAAACTGTTTGAACACGTGGATGTGCTAAAATAACAAGCTGATGTGTAGTCCGTAGCACCGAGTTTGTACGTCGTAAGTAAAACACAAAAGGTTGGCATAAATTTCATTTACTTGGAATACACGCACACCCATGATGATGCCAAGTAGAATCTCAATTTCCACAGAACCATGTGCAAATATGCAGATGTAGTTTAATTTGATAAAGTCCGCGCTAGATTGGTAACTTTCGACCTGAAGCTAAGGGCTTAGCTGCTACGACTCCTGTTGGTGTAGCTGGGAGGCGGCGAGCCCAGGTATACTAGCTAGTGCTCGTGTACGCATTCGTGCCGAGGCACGAGGTATACGACCGTGTAGTGTATACCAGCGCTACGTGTCCGTCTCGTAGAAACCGATACAGACAACGATGGTGGTGATTGATGTATTAACTTCAACACCTTCTCACCTGCCCCACACCCCCACCCCCGTGTGGATTTTTGGAGACCTGGCACTTGCGGCCTGTCAATTAACGTGCAAGAGGGGATTAGGGTTGCTGCTACCTGGTTTAGGTACCGTGCAGTCACTATCATTATCTCATCCATATATATTATCGGTCAAGCCTGCCACGGCAGAGTTGCGCGGCACTTCGAATCTCAGTATGCCATGAACCTAGCAGCCCAAGGGCGCTATGTACTGTTATGGGGAAACCCTGCAGTCTACTATATCGGTACATAGGACCCTTTGGGAGTACCTAATCCGAATGGGGGATGGGAGTTGGATTTACATACTGCCCGGTACCTGGTAGCCCATGGTGCAAGCATGTTTAATCAAGCTTTGTTCCCTTGTCGAGGAATGTTCAGCTTGCTGAAGGGGATGACCATGTCATCATGCACGCCACACGCGGGCAGTTATACAAAAAGGCCACTTAAGACACCATGCCCTCGCTTACACCACCAAGTGCATGCGACAAAACTAGCAAGATCCCTAACTCGACACACAACTTGGGCAGCTGTCATGTGCATCCACAAAGCCCAAACACTCCATGCAGGCAGTCCTAAAACACAAAGCCCGAAGCTGGAAACACCCCCAAAACACCTCTAAACCCTAAACCCCTGCCAGAATGCTCTCATCACTGCCCTGGCTAGATTTCGACACGCGGCTCGCCGCATCGTCGCAAGGAGGCAGCGGAACACACCGCAGGGCCGAGTTGTCTGGAAGATGGTTTTGGGGTTTAGGGGGTTAGGGGGTCCTTTAAGGGATCTATAGGGGGTCTCGGGTGTCGGGGTTTAGGGGGTTAGGAGTCCAGGGGTTTAGCGTTTAGCGTCTATTTACGACTTGCAGATTTGAGTTTTTGTTGGCCCATGCCTGCACAACCAAACCTCCTTTTTACAACATTGCACATGTCACACACACACACACACACTCTCACATAGACGGACATGGATTGAGCATACCTAAGATCCGCAGATGTGGCGGATACGAGTCACGGAGTGAAAAGCAACAACTTCTGCTCCACCACGTTCCAAGATTGTGGTAAGTTGTGGTAGAAGCACGCCTACAGTTGTCTGGATGAGAGGTCTTTATGTCAGTCCTACGTAGTCTTTACAGCATTAACTTACCCTATCCCATATAAAACGTCCCAAGGTCCCATCGACCTAAACCCCAACCCCAAACCCTAAATCGACCAAAAGCACTTCAAAGGAATCCGACACCACACGTACAGGAACCCTAAACCACCCTTCTGGGAACCTTTTAAGGGTTGCCGTTTAAGGGTTATCCTTATGGGTTCTCTCTGTTGCAGGTGACCTTTAAGATTCCTTTGTAAGGTTGCCTTCGAAGGTTTTCTTTACAAGAACGATTTTAGGCCGGCTGAGCCAAAGGCGATCCCAGACTCTTCCAACAGAGATCATGGAAGCGGATCGCTCCTTTGGATTGTCGTATTTCGAAAGCTCCGGGCTTAGAATCGAACGGATGGTGAAACTAGCTTGAGATATGGGGTTTCTAAGTGTTCATAATACTATAAGGGCCTGAAAAATTGCCAATATTCTCTCGGTGTTCCCTGGACCGACTCAAGTAGAGTATACCCCAAACCATGTTCTGGTTCTTGGGAACTCTACATGAACTCAAGCATTATGCAAAAGTTTGGGTTTAGAGGGGCCTTGATAGTTGGTTAGGATTCCTTTAACGGGTTCTTATGAAGGTTCAATGGGTGTTTATGGTATTGTAGGGTGCTGCAGGGTTGAAGGGGGCCTGAATGATTCGAATAATCAGGAAACCTCAGGAATGATATCAGCACTTTGTTTGGGCTTCCATATTCGGGGCCCCGGTGCTAGGGTTTAAGACTTCAGGTGTTCAACGATCCTGCCCTCCCAGTCGCCCAACGTACCCGTGCATCATCGCTTTTGGGATGCTGCTTCCTTGCGATAAGCGACAGGTAAAACAGTAGTTACTTCGATCATTCACACGCCCGTCGGATCTACACATGGGAAAAGCTGGCCAGAAAGCCACAACCGGGAATCCAAAGCCCCAACTCTCAAAACAACAACCCTCAACCTTTCATCCTCAACCGAGTGCCCTGCTCTGCTGCGAAGAAACACCCGCAGAAGAGTCCAATACCCGCTAAATAAAGATCTTACCTTAAATCAACATATCAAGTTCCCCTATTTTCAGGCATGTTCCCTGATTAACCAGTATCGGGCTTTGTGGGGAACCAAAGGATTCCGGTTCAACTGGAGGCGCCATCACCGTCCCCGAAACAAAGCAAGATCCCTTTGCCTTCCGAGGGTAGATGAACCGCAGATGCTCCGAACGTACGTGGTCCTTGCTTCAACTAGGATGCTCCGAAGGAGCTTAATGTAGGTTACCTTGATGAGGCAGCCAGATTACTTCTTTATTGAACTTGCTACCCTTGCAAAAACCAACAATCCTAGTTGTCGTTTTGGGGTTATGGTAACACAAATAAGTACTTCCAAATTTACTACACATCCCGGTAGTGGCAACTTAAATTACGCTCCTTGACAAGAATCCAGGAATGGTATACTAGCCCTACAACCCTAAAGACTATAACAGAAACCCTGAACATTGTACTGAATTCAGGCCTAAGCCCATGATGGCAACTTATACGAAGCGGCGGTTTTGCTTTTGACCTTGAAGTTGCAACGCATCCTTCTTGGCTGCTCTCGTCAATAGGAAAATTTAGGGTTCAGGGGTTGGGTGTTGTTTCAAGGGTTTAGGGTTTACAGGGTTTGATGTAGAGTACAAGGTGCAGATGAGGGCCTTGCAAGAGAAGGCTAGAGGCGAAGCTAGCGACAAGGATGGCTTCGAGCCGAGGAGCCACAGCAATAGCATATTTCTGGCAAGGACGTGTCGTCAAATGCTTTGTCATGCAACAAAATGCCCCTTCTTTGCTGTCTTTTTCAACAAGCACTTACTTTTTGGTTTTGCTGGCATTCCGTTGTACCTGGGTGCTGAGCACGCGCTGCAGCAAGCTGCCCCTTCACTGTCCGCTTCCCCGGTTCCGTCGCGCAGGCCTTCGGCAACAGAAGGAAAAAACTGCAGCCTATTGGCAAGCTTGGTCTGCATTTCGTTGCGAGGATCAATGCACGGCGGCGGCGCGGAGGAGCTTCGCCATGGATTCGGTGGGAGATGGCAGCTTCCGAGCCGGCTTCGCCGGCAGCATGGGGCCCGTCACTAAAAGGGCACTGCGGCGGTGGTGAAGGCGGAGGGGGGAGTTGTCGCCTCCAAGCCGGGCTCATCTGCGGGCGGGTTGCGGCCCTGCTCATGCCCGGCGCAGGCCGCAGAAGGCACTGGTTTCACGATTGACTTAGCTTGGGCATAGGTAGACCGTGCCTTGGAAATGTCCCACCAGCGACGTTCGGCGAAGTCCCATTGCGCCATCAGCTGACCTGATGCAAGCATGCAAGGACTACTTCGGAATGGCTCAGGCTCTAGCTCTTTTGTATGTCGTTGGCGAGGAGCCATTTCTGGCGCCTGGCAGGAGCACAACTCGCATTTCGAGTACCGGACGCAGGGAACGAGGATCTGACTTTGCTGTAAGCATTTCGAGAAACTTCTCGTTCACCGAACCGCTGAGTTTGTGCCTGCGGAGAGCTAGCTGTTGCAAACTTGAATGGCTGGCAAAAGAGCTTCCGAGGCGAGAACTTCAAAAAGTCAGCGACCCACTTGTCTGGTTGAACGGATAGAGAATTGATGGGAACATGGCGGTGAACTTCTCAGGCTCCGGCTCCCGCATGTGCTCCATTGCTGGGCAAGAGCTATGACATCTTACGCACTTCGATGAAAGCCAAAATACAACTGCAGGCATCGGAGTGCCAACAGCAACACTATGTGCACGAGACAGTGGCATTGATTGCACAGCACTGATATCAGCCCCATCAGTTCTGCTTTAGAGAATTGAAGCTTCTTTGCTTCTATGGAACAAGACCAGGGCCAAGAGTCTTCGAGTGCGGAGGCAGGGCACAAAAAAAACGTAAACCCTAAGCCTCCCCAAACCCGTAAACCCTAAACGTTTAACTCCTATATAAGCCCCTACAGACGGCGATTCAAAGCCCCACTCGGCTGTCCCTCATCGTGCACCCCGTGAACGGTTAGGGTTGAGGGTTTTAGGGTTTAGGGTTTTTCAATGGTTCAGGGTGTAGGCTTTAGGGTTTAGGCTCTAGGGGTTTAAGCCCAACGCCACGAACAATTCCTCTGCAAGTTGAAACTCGAAGCCTTGATACCCTCCATGCCAAAAAAGCCCGGAATGCTAATAACTGGAAACTTGAACCCAAAACCACCCTACAAATCCTGAACCCCAAACCCATAAACCCCAAATCCTTGCCCTAAACCCCACCTAGAGTCTCCATTGTAGATCCTTTTGTGGTTAACCAGTTTTACGGTTGGGATCCTATAATAAAGATTCTGGTTGGCCAAAAAAAGGAACTACAATGGAGACTACAGGTAAAAGCCCAAAACCGCCTAAACCCTCTACACCCCAAACCCTAAGCCCTAAACAGCGTCCAATCACAGAGCCAGGGTGCGGCGATCCAGGCGGGGCTGTGAACGAAAATGACGACAGGCTTGGAGGCAGTGGGCCTGTGGGTTTCTATCTTAGTAGGATTTAGGGATAAGGTAAGGATACTTAAAGGGCTCCTTTAAAGGGATCTATAGGGTTCCTGAAAGGGATCTTTGGGGGGTTTAGGGTTTAGGGTCTACTTGGAGGCAGTGGGCCTGGTGCTGGGTTTTAGGGTTCAGGGGGTTGGGGTGTAGGGCGTTGGGGTTTAGGGGGTCAGGGTTTAGGGTGTAGGGTTCCTTAAAGGGATCTATAGGGCTCCTTAACGGGATCTTTAGGGTTTAGGGTCTGCTTGGAGGATCAGGGGACTTAGTAAAGTAAGGCTATAAGTCTTCTAAATAGGGTTATAAGTAAATACAAGTATAGTTACCTTGTTTATAAACCCTAGTTACTTAGCCCCATGATCCTTTAAGTGGTGCTGGGTTTAGGGATTAAGTTACCGCAATCGGGATCTATAAGGGCTCCTTTAAGGGATCTATAAGGTTTTATGGTTTAGGGTCCAAACTTAGGGTTACCATGGCCGGGATCTACAACAAATGTTATAATTTCTTGAGTATGGTCTTAAATCAAACTCCTGAAAAAGAACCCCGGGTGTGTCTGTCGATGTCGCGCTTGCGGGTGGTGCTGCACGGGATGGGGTTGTAGGGTCGTAGGGCATACACGGGTTCACCAGCCGACTTGCGCAACGCACCTACCCAGGGAAAGCACTGACCTCAACGGCTAACTGGCACATACAGCTGTCTACCCGAACCCTATAAACCCTAAACCCCGAACTCTCAGTTGAATTAATTGGTTGTCCTGAACCCTAAATCCCCAACTACCGAGCCGGTGTTAATACACTCCAAGACATCCTGAGCAAGTCCAGATCTCTCTGTTGGCCAGAGAAAGAACACCGGCAACGGCGAACTTGTGGAAGTAAAGGTGGAAGACATTCATCTAGTAGCTTTGTGCTTCGAGGTGCATTACAATTTAGATTTCCTGGTCTGTGGTGTTCGGGCCCCACCCAAAGTTCCAAGACCCCAAGCAGGAAATTCCCAGACTCTCTAGAAGGTTTTCCGACCCCTAAACCCTAGACCCTAAACCCCTAAACCAAACCCATAAACCCCCAACCCCTAAACCCCTTAACCCCTAAACCCCAAACCCCTAAACACTAAGCCCGAAACCGTGGTTTTTGTGTGGCTGCAGCTACTCTAAGACCCGGACCATGACGTCACAATCCTTGGCAGCAAGTCTGCTTCTCTCGGGGGAACGGGCGAGGATCACGTTGTAACCTGTGTGTGTGTGTTGTCCTGCCTCTGGAAGCCTTGGACCTTGCACCACAAACACTAAAACTAAATCCAAAATCCGAAAATAATAGTCAGGCATCATGAGTTTTGCTGATTATATACAGGGATTGTAGGGGGAGACGGGATAAATCACTACATCCCGATCCCTATCTTGAAGGGTCAGGGGTTTTGGGATGCCGGGTCAACAAACTTAATTTTTCAAGAGATGGATCGATAGGACAACAAGGTAAGCCCATCCGCCCATACACGGCTCTTGAAGAGAGATAGCAGGAGAACGACATTGGCTCTTGCTCCAGTTTTTCAAGTTCTTCCTGCGCGGTATCTAAGCCCCCTTTACTCCAAGCCACATCCCCCAGACTATTGCAAACCTACAACTCAAACCCTGTTACAACCTACACCTCAAACCTACAAGTGAACCCTTGAACCCAACTGTGGGAGACCATAATATGTTGACTTTGTTGGAAGGGAGGGAATCATATTGCCCCGTGCACAAGTTTCAACCTCAAAGCCTTTGATTACAATTCCCTTGGGCTCATCAAGAAAACCGTCTGCTTCCTAACCTAGGCTTGCATTACAATCTGAATCATGACTCCTGTCTTTGGGGTTATATTACAACCTACATAAGAACCCCGTCTTATGTTGCAATCCAAACAAGAACTCCTCGGGGTATTCTTCAAAATCCACAAACCCTAAACCACCACCCCTCTCAAAAACACGCGCACACACACACACAAGTCCGAAGTGTCTCAAATTCAGTACCTCGAACAAGCTCTTGGGTTCGTTACAATGCCGTAATCATACGGAACCCTGAGGAAGAATAATCTAACTATTCCCTACTTGTCGGGTATCATGGGGAACTGAAGGTTAACCTTTTTGGGTATATAGGGATTATCTAGGGGCTCTACTACCCAAAAAAGGTTAAAGCTTACCTGCTCTCCTCTACCGTGTACTACTAGGATTCAGTCTTCTACAACGGACTCACGTAGCATATTCAGCCGTTAAAGTCCCCGTTTAAAGGACCCCCGATAATAGCAACCCTGCACTAGAAGCCCTTATTATGTAGTAACTCTTATAATCCCCCTTCAAACGAACGCCCATAGCAACCCTGTATTACACTCTCATAGTGTAATCGCTCTTATAGTCGCCTTTGAAAGGAAAACCCTATAGCAACCCTATATTTATGCCGAGCTTCGAGACCATCAACTCCGACTTGCCCATGGAGCCGGACGACCCGGTCGGGACGGCCAAGGGCACCTGGCCGTTGTGCAGCGGAGGATTTCGGGCTTAGGGTTTAGGGTCTGGGATTTAGGGCTGAGGGTTGTTTGGGGTGTAGTTAACATGTGGAAGTGGGGTTCAGGATTTGGCGCTTCGAACATATGGAAGAGAGGTTTAGCCCAGGACTTAGGCTTAAAGGTGTACGAACTGAGGTTTTAGGGTGTAGGGTCAAGGGTCCGAGGACGAAGGGTTGAGGGTTTGGGGTTTGGGGTTCAGGGATATGGGCTACGGCTTGAGGGTCTTGGGCTTTTTCGGCCTGGGCTACAGATCAGGACTTGTGGTTTGGGGCTTGGGGCTTGCAGTTTGAAAGTTTAAGGCGTCGCGGTTTAGTCTGGACTTTTAGCATCTAATGTGCAACGCCCAGGAGCACGGGAACGAGATGATCGAGTTATGGTTTGGGGTTTTTAAGTGTTTAGGGTGTAGGGGTTTGGGGTTTAGGGTTTCGGGGTTTAGGGGCTTAGGGTCTAGGGGTGTATGGTTTAGGAGTTTAGGGTTAATGGTTTTGACTTCAGGGTTTCTTGGCAGCCTTGGACAGCAGCCGCAGCGGACTGCTGGAAGGGTCTTGGGTTAATTGGCGCTTGGGGGGCAGTCGGGAATTGCCTTGTCTTCTTCTTAGCAGCCAAACCTACAGCGATGGGCATCCAAGGACAGCAATTTCTGTGACAGTTCGGGTATAACAGATGTCAGTGTGATGGGGGGCAGTACCATCTACAACCTGTGCTCAAGACCCCAACCACTACAAAGACAACGAGAATAAGCCCAAACCACTACCACGACAACAGCAATGCGTCCGAGTACAACTTATGTTGTAGGTCTTTCTGATATCGCGGCCTGAATGCTTAGAACAGGGTTTCTTTATATGACTTATACTCTGGCTTTATCGTTCTTTCTAGTTTTTCGAGATGCAAAAAATTAGAATAGGTTTGGGGACATAGCAGTGTACGTTAAGAAACACCGAGAAAAGGGACTCATAATTATCCACAGAAGTATTGCTTGGACCAGCCGCTCTTCATCACATGGACGTTGCACAGACTCAAATAACAAGCATGATTCCAGAAAGCCTGAACAAGCACCAAGATTGAGGCAGACCTATTCTGTTCAAGCCCAAACACCTGAATCCTGAACCCTACTTGGAGGATCAGGGACTTCATAAGTAATGTTATAAGTACCCTAATTTGGGTTATAAGCACTTACAAGTATAGTTACCTTATTTATATCTCTGATTACTGACATCCAGGATCCTGTATGTAGACCCTAAACCCTGAACCCTATAGATCCCTTTAAGGAACCTTTATAGGCCCGCAAGGAACCCTAGCAAATCCGAAATCAATGGGGCCTTGGTCTCAGTGGCGTCTCCCTCCGTGGGTCGGAGTGTCACTTTCTTAGACCAGAGCTGGGGATCGTAGAGGGACACACACCTGGGCAGTGGTCTGCTTTGGGTTTAGGGTTTAGGGTTTCTTTGGTTTAGGGTTTAGGGCCTAGTGTCCCTGTCAGGGATCCTTAAAGGGGATCTACAGGGTTTAGGGGTTCGGGAATGGGGGCATGGATCCCTACAGGAAGCCCAGAGTTCCCAAGGAAAGCGTCTCCATAATCCATTCCCCCACTCCTTGCAAAGCAGCAGAGGGCGTTTGGGCCCTTGCTTGTTTTGTTAGAGTCGGGAGCTTCAGACATTTTGGGTTTAGAGCCGTTCTATGTGGCTCACGGCTTTAGATGGCTTTTAAGGGTTCAGGACTGGGCGCTTTCCGTAAGCCAAAGTAGGCTCCTTCCGGACATTCGCGCAGAGTCACAGGCTTGGTGGGGGTGTTTCATGACCTCCGGAATCATAGGCCCCAAAACCCAGTTCTGATTATGAAAATCCACATCCTGTCCCTAAACCCTAAACCCTATAAACCCTAAACCCTAAACCCTAGACCCTAAAACCTTAAACTTTTAAAGAAGCCCCCGAAAAACCCTAAAGGCCTGCTCCGGCCGTGTTTCGAGGCATGGGTGGCATACTTGGAGGATAAGCTCAGGTCATAAGTAGGGTTTAGGGTTTAGGGTTTAGGGTTTAGGGTAACAGGTTAAAGGCTACCTGCTCTACCACTAAGACAAGATTGTTGGAGCCCTTACAGAACCCTTCTAGAACCCTAAAACGCACCTGGTCCAGGGGGAAGTATAGCTTTTCGGATCGAAAGGTGGGGGGTTCGGTCAAAACCGGGCTTGAGGACGTCAGGATAGGTTTTCGAGTTTAAGGTTTAGGGTTCAAAGCTTGGGGGCCTTGGGTTCAGGGTTTGGGGCTCAACTCTTAGAGTTTCGGATGTAGGGCTTAGGGATCAATTCTTAGGGTTTTGGGTGTAGGATTTAGGGTTCTTGTTGTTTGTTGACACCTCTCTTCCTCCTGCATCGTCTGTAGTAGGGTTTAAAGTTCTCAGTGCTTAGGGTTTTGAGTCTTAGGTCTAGGTTTCTTCGTTGTATAGTTTTGACTACTCGCCACTATGGGCGCGCACTCCTCCGCACAAAGGAACACGGAAAAGCAACTCACCCTGGTTTAGGCTTGGGGCTTCGAGTTTAATGAGTTTGCGAGGGCCCTGCCCCTGCGCACCCTAAGCTTCCGCCAATCCGACTCTCTAATGGAACAGAATCACTTAAGATCTGTGATCATTGGAGCAGGAATTTGAGGTATACTTTCGTATAAATACGGAAAGGAGCCATCAGCAGGAGTATTCCCGAATATTCAAGCTTCCATGTTGATCCTTTCTGGTCTGAAATCTCCTGAAAAGAACTGTTTAGGTACAGACCCTTACAGGAACCCTTAAAGGAACCCCCGGGGACCCTTAAAAAGAGCCTACCATGATCCGTTAAGTAGGGATCTGGGTGCTGCGGTCGAGGGGCAGTTCGAGCATCTCGGCCGGACAGGAATAAATCTCACCTCAGTCGGAACCACCGCAGCTAAGTAAGGAATGCTTCTACGAACTTGGCGAAACATCGAGAAGCACAAGAAACATGACAACAGCCATCACGACATAAGCAATGACAGTCACAAGAAACCGCGGTGATCACCTGAAGCCCGGGGTGAACCATTGCAAGTAGAAGCTGCTGGCCGATGCCACGATGCTCGCTGCAACAAAGGAAATGATACCGCACGCAAGCGGCTGCAGAACAACCCCAAACCCTAACTACCCCTGAACCCCGAACCCGGAACCCTAGTCACGAGGAGCCCGAAATCAGATCTCAGATCCCAAATTTTGAACCCTAAACCCTCTGCTAGGATCCTAACCCTCAACCCAAGTCCAATGTCAGATCCCTAGATTCGTCGAAGCTTCATCCTGACTGAGCCTCTCAACAGCAACTGTCCCTTCAATATGGGCCAAACTGCAGCCCCATCAGCAAGCAAACTGAGAACTCCTAAATCGCAGTTTAGGGTTTGCGTAGGGTTTAGGGTTTGCGTAGGGTTCAGGCTTTAGGGTTTACACAGGGTTTCGTAAAGATAAGCCTGCAACAAGCAAGTTTGCAGATGCCCTTGGACTCTGACGCTTCTTCTGCGGCTGCAGGGTCTCTGTCAATGGCTCGTCAGTGGCACCTGTCACCTCATTCAAAGGGTAAAAGGAGGGACCCCTAGTAAGGACCCCTAGGTATATACCCATAATACAGCCATTATATACCCATTATATAGCCCATCATAGGCTAGGGGTCCCCATTAAGGGTCCCTCCTTTTCCCGTTTGACTCATGGAAACACTTCCGAGACTGGGACTGCTGGGATCTGAACAGAGCTCACGACGGAAGGTCAGAGCAGCTTTATCATAGGGTCAGTACACCATTGTACCAAGCGCCCGCAAAAGTATATGCGCTAAAAACAGCGGGAGTAGCAACTTTGGAGCAGTCAGCTTTGCTTCTGAACGCTCATCTCAAGCTAGTATAACTCGAATCCTTTCTTCTTTGAATTAGGAGGGGTATTGCACAATCCCGAAAGGCTCCATCTTAAACCCCAAACCCTAAACCAATCAGCCGATCTTGGATGTTGCAGAACAATCCTTCGGCGCTGGAAAGGTGTCCATATAAGGGAGCTGTATGGGTTTCTTTTGTGAGGGTCCTGGGGCTTTCGGGTCTGGAGGCATGATGTTTGGAGTTTAGGGGCCTTGAATACTTGAAGTCGGGTTGCTCTTACGCGTTCCGTTTAAGGGGTGATATGAGGGTCGCTGTAAACGGTCAGTAGATAGAATGGCGTGTTGGGGAGCTGCAGGCCCTTGTGTAGCAGTTTCAGAGAATCAGAAAAGACTCTCTTCTTCAACAACCGGTCCCGAAAAGTTCAAACTTTCTAAGATGGAGCTAATATAGAAGGCCAAAGAGTTTAAAGTTCCCCCGTTCACTATCTAAGAAGAGGAGACCGTAACAATGCACCTAAATAGCTACCTTTGGTTAGTAGGGAGTGGAAGAATGGTAGTAATAGTAGTTATAATTGTACCCCATTCCTCCATTCCTTACAAACCAAAGGTAAGAATAGCAGGATGGCTGGTAAAATTTGTAGCCCCTGAAACAGGAACCCCTAATCTTAAGACACCCTTACGGTATATCAGCCCATTCGGGGAACGAGGCTGCAAAGTCGGTCCCCTGACCTTCCTTCGTCCTCGAGGCATACCCTGCAAAGACCAAACCTTTCTGGGTTGTGCTCTAAACCCTTTGAAAATCATTTATAAATAGGTTCCCTTCATAAGGAAATAACTGAAATCAAAAATGATCGCGAAGCACAACCCAGCTTTCAATCTGGTTAAGCGGGTTTGCAGTCTAAGGTTTAAGGAGAAAGGGCTTCAGACAGGGGACGTCCGTTGCTGATGGCCATAAACCCAGAACCCCCCCTCGACAACCCTGAACCCTAACCCCTAAGTCGCCCTAAACCCCCTAAACTACCCTAAATGATACTAACCAGGATACCCAGTAACCTAAGATTAAAAAGGCCTCTCTTTTGGGTATTGGGTAACTTTATAAGGAACCTAGGACTACAAAAAGGGAATAAGGGTACTACTGGGCATCCTAGCTAAACCCTGAACCAACAACTCTTCGTTAGAGCAGCCCTTGTCCAACTCCCGTCACGGGTGCCTCCACCGTGAAGGGCACGGGCAGGGCCGAAACCACAGTGACCTGATGGGCTTAGGGCTCAGGTTCAACTGAAGGTTTATTTCTGGGGTTTAGGGTTTAAGATTTAGGGTCTAGGGTTTAAGGTTAAGGGTTTCGGGCTTCAGCGTTTAGACCTGGGCAGAAAGCAAAATTGACTTTGCCAGATAAAACTCCCTTGAGCCCCTCTGAATCTAATTGCTAAACCCTAATTTCTGAACGCTCATTAAACCAGAAACCTAAACTCTAAACTTTAAACCTTAACCCCTAATCCCTTCATCCTAAAGTAAAAACCATAAACCTAAACTCTAAACCTTACACCTTAACCCGAAACCCTAAATCCTTAACCCCATGCTCCAGGGACATGGCAGGCGCCCGAAGCTCCAGCGTCCATTGCCGGGCACTCATCTCTGCCTGGCCCACCTGCCGGGCAGTTTAGGATTTAGGGTTTGCGGTTTAGAGTTTAGGGCTTACGGTTTAGAGTTTAGGGCTTAGGGTTTACGGTTTAGAGTTTAGGGCTTAGGGTTTACGGTTTAGGGTTTAGGTTTAGGGTTTACGGTTTAGAGTTTAGCTTTAGGGCTTACGGTTTAGAGTTTAGGGTTTAGGGCTTAAAGGCTTTAGGGTGTAAGGGATAGGGCTTTTGGTTTTTTGAGGGCTTTTTTGAGTCTGTCCGAAGCGTCCTCAGCCCCTGTTGGGAAGGCCTACTTACCAACCTAGAAGGGTTTGGGGTTTGGGGTTTAGGTAGGGTTTAGGGTTTAGGGTTTAGGGTTTAGGGTTTAGGGTTTTAGGGTGCAGGCAGGAAGCCATGATCGTCCCAAGGGGTCCATGTACCCTAATATAGGTGTAGGGCTTGGAGCATGTGTATGTATGTATATAACTATTACTGTAGTATATAGCTTACTACAATATATTGAGGGACGACGTATCAACTACATGGGTTCATGGGATCCTTCACAGAGTTCGTGCATGCCAAGAAAGAGCAAGCAAAAAGATCCCGCCCCTCGACTGCTGAGTCTTCTGTAGCACTCCCAAATCATTTTTGCAGCACCTGTGATGCTTGACTCAGCCTCAGCCTTGCATGCTAAACCCTAAACCCTAAACCCTTATAGAAACCCCGGCTCCCATGAGTGCGCCTGGACTGGAATCACCTCCATCTTCCACAGCAGGCCTCACTTACTTTCCCAAAAAGCCACCGCAAGAAAGGGCTAAACTTTCAGCTTACTACTAAATAGTATGCTGCTACACTACAACTCATTACTAGACTACTAAAGTCTCAAGCTACTTAAACTTCTAAACAGCAAGGAACCAATAAGTTCAAAGGGAGAACTGAGCTTGTCTGGCCGGGTTTGCCCACACGACGTTCAGGATTTCAGGCTTCAGGTGTGGGGTGCTTGTAGGGCAGTCGTCTTTCCCAAAGGCTCCATGTACCCATGTAGTAGGTACTTAGGCCTCAAAGGGGCCCCTACATAGGTACTTTAAGGCCTAAGTACGGGGAGCCTTTGGGTTTTCTTTATCTCAGTCCTGGTCCTCGTCCTCGCAACCATCAGAGACGAAGCAGCGGCATTCCGTAGAGTCAGCAGTGCAGTAGCGGCAGCAGGAGCAGCAGCACCCGTACTGGCCACAGCAGCAGTGACGATGTGTTCTCGCTATCGTGATGTCCGTTGTGGTTTTTGAAAGAACCCTAAACTACTAAACTTTGGTTGCCGTTGTGGCTGTGGTTGGTTGAAAGAGCCCTAAACTACTAAACTTAAACCCCTGAACCCTCGAGCCACCGCTCCAGACACTAAACCCTACTCCCCAAACCCCCTAAACCCTTAACCCTAACCCCTAAACCCTTAACCTTAATCCCTAAACCCTTAACCCCTAAACCCTTAACCCCTAAACCCTCAACCCTCAAGCCAAGCCGAGCTCACATGCGAGTAGATCCCGATCTGAGGGCGATACAGAAGGCGCACCCGGTGGCCTCTGCTTGGAGGGTCGGGGGACTTAGTAAGTAGGTAGTAAGTAGACTTATAGGTACCCTAAAAGGGACCCTAATTGGGGTGATGGTACCTATAAGTCCCTCCAGCTACTAAGTCCCCCGACCCGGGGTTTAGGGGTTTTAGGGATTTAGGGGATTACGAGGTTTAGGGGTTTAGAGGCTTACGGCTCAGGTTTTTTGACTTTGGGGGTTGGAAGCTGCGGGCCTTTACGGCTTCAAGGGTTCAGGCCTGGGGGGTGTTGCTTGGAGGATCAGGGGACTTTGTAAGTAAGGTTATAAGTACTTTAATTGGGCGTATAAGTCATTATAAGCATAGTTACCTTATTTATAACCCTAGTTACTAAGTCCCATGATCCTTTAAGTGCAGAGGGTTAATATGCCGAGATTGAACTTCCAACAGTCATGGCAGACATGGCTGGAGGAGGCCTGCATGATTGGGACCGACAAAAGATTTGCCCTTCCCTCTGCAGAGCGTGTTTCTTCGCTCAGCGATGGAGAAGCTTTTGGGTGCTGTGCCTGCGAGGTGGGGCCCCATCAAGACACAGAGTTCTGGGGGTGTGTCACAAAGTTTCGATACAGAGGGATCTTCAAGGAAACGTATGAACCCCTAAACCCTGAACCGTAGGATCTTCGCTCTGAGGCTTGGTCTTTGCAGCAGTCAAGAAGGGATGACAGTAACTAGGTTCCTGAGTAGCCCCTTGATACTGAGGGCACCCTCTTCCTACAATTTGGCTTCAACAAGGGAACTCAACAAGAACAAGGGCAAAAGGGTTCTACTCAGGAACCTGAGTAAGGACACTGCTTGTGCTGCCCTTCCTTAGACTCAAAAGCCTCCTGGGATCTTGCCGGCACATTTTCAAGAGGGATCATCCAGAATCAAGGATTGTTTATATAGCTGGACTATCAAAGAAGATTGACTAGATCAGACTCATAGTGGACAGATAGATGAGTAAACGAATAAACAGGTGGATGGATGGATGGATGGATGGACGGATGGATGGACCGATGGATGGATGGAAACAGATACATGCAAAGTTCGACAGAAAGTTAATTCAAAGCTAGGCAGACAGATAGAAAGACTGATGAATAGTTGTCGGTCATCCGCGCCTCACCACTTGCGGCAGTCCGGTGCACTCTGAAGGATCCATCCTGGTTAGGTTTAGGGTCTGAGTTTAAACAAGGACTCACAGTAGAAGCATAAAAGTTGGAAACCCAATAGCCCCAATCCTTAAGAGTACTGTATAGGGAATCCCAGCACTATTTGGCCTTAATCTTGTTCCAACTTTATGGGGTCTACTGTAAGCTTTAGGATTTGAGGTTTGGGGTTCTGCGGGTGTGAGGATTCAGGGGCTGCACACGACTCCAGGTTTCTGGGAGACGCCGGATGTGGCCTTCAGCTTCTAATATTATTACTTGGAGGCCCAGGGGATTTAGTAAGCGGGTATAAGCCGGGATATAATTGGGGTAACTTCACTTAGCGTACTCATCAAACTCTAATTGCTCTAGTTATCACCGACTTACTTGTTCCCTGGGCCTCTATAAGGAACTCCAGAAAGTTGGAATATGGATTAATGGTAGGATCCCCTATATTTTTACCCTTAAAGGGGTTAACGGTTACGATAATGATATTCCAACTTTCTGGCTTCCACTGTAAGTGTTGAGAGTTGAGTTTCGGCTTTGGGCTTTCCGCTTTTTCCAGCTCGTGCCCCAACCCCTCGCGACCTCAGCGGCCAAACCGATAAAAGGAGTTTGGGGTTTTCGGGTTCAGGGCTTTAAATAAATAAGCCCACAAACACCGATACAAAATTCGAGTGCCCTAAAACACAACTGGGATGTCCGGAATCCCAAGAGCCTCATGTAGGATCAATAGAATAGGGTTTTGGGGAATATTATCATAATTATGATACGGATCCCCCCTCCAACAAAAAAAGTAAATAAATATATATATATATATATATATATATATATATATATATATATACATATATATATAGGTAATCATTAAGGCTCCTACATCCTAGTACCCAGATAGACCCCTTATAGTAACCCTTTCAAAGGATCCCTTGGAAGGAACCCTATTCTACTTACTAAGGCCCCTAGACTACGGACCCGCTGGGAGCGCGGCCGCTTCCATGGCCAGCTTTTCCAAAGGAAACTCACGGCTCCAGTGGGCACCTGGTAGGCTCGGTTTAGGGGTTTTGGGTTTAGGGGTTCAAGGTTCTGGGTTTAGGAAGGTATTCGAAGGCTCGGTTTTGGGGTTTTGGGGTTTAGGGGTTAAGGGATTCAGGGGTTGGGGGTTTACGAGCTAGGGAATTAGGGGATTAGGGGTTTATGGGTTAGGGGATGAGGGCTTAGGGGTCAGGGTTTTGGGGTTTAAGGTTCTGGGCTCAGGAATGTAACCGAAGCTACAAAAATAGGGAAACCCCTAAACCCCAATCTTTCTCATGTACTCTTGATGGTGAAGCCGTATTAGTAATTTGCTATAGCTTAAGCTTAGCAGCCCATTTGATAGCAACTTGACTACAAGTCCTTGACAAAATCGGAAGCTAAAGGAGCGGCTTTGGGTACAGCGCTGAAGGACTTAAAGTGCTCAACCCACCCCAAAACCCTAGTTTGTAGTTTATAAAATGCCCTAAATCGCTGAACCTATAAAAGTCTACAGTATAGGGTTCGGGGTTTTAAGTTGAGGGCTTGCTAAATCCTTACACCCCGATACTTCCGACAGCCCGGGAGCAGCACCTGGCTGTGAACTGGGCCGCAGCGCCAAGCCTAGCTCATGGTTGGGATAAGATCAAAATTTGAATGTTTATTCCTTATAGGGCTTAAGTACCCACAAAAATGCAAAGAGGATTTTATAAAAACCCTATATTGGGCTTAAGTGACCATGAAAATGAAAAATGCTACCCAACTATGACAAAGAAGCGGTGTTGGACGTCGAGACTCGCCGGCAGCATGCTGGCTCCCAAGGGAGGAATCTGGCGAATCGAAGACTTTGGGGTGGGGGCTTCGGGTTTAGGCTTTAGGGTCTAGGGTTTAGGGTTTAGGGGGTTTAGGGTTTAGAGTTTAGGGTTTATAGGGTTTAGGGGGTTTAGGGTCTAGGGTTTTTAGGGCTTCGGGGGCTCGGGCTCGGGGATTTAGCATTTAGGGTCTTGGGGTGTCGGGTTTCGGGTTCGCGTGGCCCTTGCAGCACATCCCAGGTGGCATGATGTTAAAGCGCGGAGTGCTGTGACCCGTTCACTGCGATTGATCTTCAGTTTCGGCTTCGTATCTGGGAAGGAGTCGGGTCTCTTGAAGCCTCAACGGACCATCCTGGAACACCATTCAAGCGTGTCCCGATACTAGCAACACAAGGGCTGAAAACGCGTTGCGCCGTAAAGTGAAGCCCTGAATACTCCACCCCAATATGCCCCCCCCAAAGCTTTTCCCAAAACTCTGAAGCCACGGTTTAGGCTTTGGGGTTGCAGGACCTCCACAGCCAGAACAGACCAGTGAAGCCTCCTCTCACAATCTCATGCACCGGAGACCATCCGAAAACTTCATCCCGGACTTGATAATCATGCGGTAACCAAAGACCCTAATTCCTAAGCACCCGAACCCCTAAATCCTGAAGAGAGCCCCCTGGTGCGCCTCGCCGGGGAGCTCCTGCCAAGCAAAGCTTTGTTGCTTCTAGGGGTCCTTTAGGGGTTCCTTTCAGGGATTCTTTAAGAGTTCCTTTAAGGGATCATTTAAGGGTTCCTTTCAGAGATCCTTTAAGAGTTCCTTTAAGGGATCATTCAAGGGGTCCTTTAAGAGGTGGTTTAGGGTTCAGGGTTGAGGGTTTCGGGCTTTAAGGGGTGCCTCTATTGGCTCCAGTCAGGGTTCCTTCAGGGCTTCTCTTCTGAGAGGGCTCCACGGCTTTGAGGTCTTCATTTGGAGGCACTAAAATACTTTAGGGTCTTAGGACTTCATGGATTTGAGCTTCTCGTAAGGTGTTCTAGGCAAGATGCTGGAATTGGGTTTTGAGGCCTGCTTTTTGCTTGAGAGCTTCAGGGTTTAGGGATTGAGGCTTAGAGTTTCGATGCTCCTCTTGGAGTGCGGGACTTTAAGGTTTTGGTGTAGGGGCTTCGGAAATAGGGGCCGTAATCATTAGACTACGGGTTCCTTTCAAGGGATCCTTTAAAGGGGTCTAAGAGTAATAGGGCCCTGAATAGGGGCCTGAATAACTAGAATTGGGCTTGGGGGGCCCATGATACTAGAACTATAGCACGGAAACGTTCTCTAGGCCAAAGTATTAGTGCATGTTCCTTGCTTGAACCATGCAAAAACTTCTTGGTATGATTGATCCAAAAATCATACACAAAGCCGAACTCTGCGCTGTTCTTCAATACCAAGTGCGGATACTGTGGCGACATGGGGTAGACAACTCTTGACAACAGGATCGGCCCCGTCATGCAAAGCACCGCATGCTTGCCTTTCTAGGGGTTGTAATTCGGGTCACTGAGGCCATCCAGCTCTCGCATGATCAACCGTTGGGCTTCGCCAAGCACAGCGCGCCAAGCAGAAGGTCCAGGAGTCGAAAAAGTAAGGCCGGCAGTGGTCCCGGTCGCAGGTCTCGATCACATCCGCGCGAAGGCCATAATATTTTACCCGAAAGCAAACCCCAGCTAATTTACGGACAGGCCCTCATGAATTAAAGCTTCCATGCCTCCCCTTAACTGAAGATCCCAGCTTGAAGCTCCTACATCTGCAGCCCTCAATCTCAACCCCTCGAAAGCCCAAGGCTGGATAGTACTTTCAGGGCACCCTCAACAGTAGTCATAACTAGGTACGTCTGTAGGACCATAGAGGAGATTACGGTGTAGGGTTTAGGGTTAAAGTAAACAGGAGCCTCTATAGGATGATAGTAGAATGGTGGGTGTTGGGTTGGGGCCGTGCCGTGGTTGTAGGTTTGGGGCCCCCGAAAGTATTCATAAATAGGTACTCAAAAAGATCATAAGGGAGATTTTAAAGTTTACCACGGGCCACCTACAAACCCAATCCCCCAACTGCCAGCGGAGTCCGTCGCGACATCCCCCGCAGTGAGCCGCAATTGAACCTGTTGATATTGGCTTAGTTTGGCGGAATATAAGGCTTGGGCGAAGGGTGTATGGTAGGGTTTGGGCTGATGGTTTAGGGTTTAGGTTTCAGCGTTCTGGTTTTTCGGGTTGAGTATTTAGGGTTTGGGTTTGGGGTCTTGAGGGCATCTTCGGAATCTTACGCTTCAGCACTGGAGGTGTGCGGCGTTGGGGCCAAGCATCGGCTAAGCCATGCCGTAGGATTGGGTTTAGGGTTTAGGGTTTGGGGTTTAGGGTTTAGGGTTTTAAAAGTTTAGGGTTTAGGGGTTTTAGGATTATATAGGGTTTAGGATTTGGGGTTCAGGGTCTGGGTTGGAACCAGGCATCTGCTAAGCCATGCCGTAGGATTGGGGTTTATGGTTTGGGGTTTGGGGTTTTGGGATTAGGCTTTAGGGGTTTAGAAGTTTAGGGCTTTGGGTTTTGGGTTTGTAGGATTATAGGGTTTAGGGTTTGGGGTTCAGGGTCTGGGGGTTCTCCCTTGCGGAAATAGACCGTCTCAATAAGGTCCCATTTAAGGAAGCCAGAAGCAGGGTTAAGAAGGGTCTCTTTCAGGGGTCTCACTAGTACTACCTAGGGGGCTTTTCGTCGAGACGAAACCAGGCGTAAAGCGCAAGAGCAGGGGCATTTTAGAAACACCATGCCATGAAAGGGCTGCGCTGCAAAACCCTAAACAACAATACTACGAAACCTCTGAACACTTACAACCCAAATCCTAAGCCGCAAACCCTGAACCCTCAACCCTAAATCGCTGCAGAATATGGCCGGGCGACAGGAAAGCTGAGTTGATTCACCACGCGGACGGGTGACTCGAGGAGCAGCAGCTTGTAAGCCTGCACGCACGCAGGAGAATCTTGGGTTTGGGTCCAGGTTCAGGGTTTAGGATATGGAGTAGGTTTAGAGTTTTGGGCTTGGGTTTAGGGTTTAGGGAGGTTTTGAGTTTAGAGTTTGAGCGTTACTGTTTGTTCTGTTTTCAAGCTTTTGCTTCAGCCTGCACTGTCTCCGACACTACCCAACATCCCCATGTTTAGGGTCTTGCGCTGGGGGATTAGGGGGGTAAGGTTTGGAGTTCAGAGCTTAGGCATTCGTAGATTTGCTTAGAGTTCGTGAACCGCAGGTTCTTTCTTGAGCCTACAACTTTAGGGTTTAGGGGACAACCAAACCGCTTGGCTGAAATAAGGAATATACCTGGAATCGTATTAGGGATCCTACTATACTTTATAAGGTATATTCTAGACCTAAGAGTAATCTAGGAATAAAAAGGGTGCCCTTTTTGGTTTAAAGGGGCTTATAAGGGAACCTGATCCCTGGTTCCCTTTTTGAGGGCTGGCTCGAGATCCGAGCATTAGGGATCCTACTTGGAGGGCCAGGAGACGTGGTAAGTCGTGTATAAGTAGGGTTATAGCTGGTGTAACCCCACTTATGATACTTACAACTCTACTTACAACCTACTTACTAAGTCCCCTGCCCCTCCAAGTACTCTACTTTAAGGTATATATTCCTTACTTGGAAGGTCTGGGCCTAGAGCCACACTGCAAATCCGAACACCGAAACCCGAAGCGTCGCGCGCTGTTACTCTGAAGGACCTAGAAAGGGCCTTAAGAGATTTAGGGATGAGGATCTATAGGTTTTTTTTTTTTAAAGTGCAGTGGCTTCCTTTCTCCGCAGGCGCCTGCTCTACAGAGCTTGCGCTACATAAAAACCCTCTCAGACAGATCTATAGGTTTAGGGATTAGGGTTTAGGGTTTAAGGGTTAGGGCCTTCAGGGTCTTTAGGGCCTTTAGGGTCTTTAGGGCCTTTAGGGTCTTTAGGGCCTTTAGGGTCTTTAGGGCCTTCAGGGTCTTTAGGGCCTTTAGGGTCTTTAGGGCCTTTAGGGTCTTTAGGGCCTTTAGGGTCTTTAGGGCCTTTAGGGTCCAGGGATTAGGACGAGGGCTTTGGTGTAGTTGCCGGATAGTGACGATGCCTAAGGCGTAATAATGTGAGCCAGACCTCCAGGTTAGACCACTTTCTTCCGAAGCTGGGTTTCGGGGACAACAATGTCAAG